TGACGACGCGTCCAACAGAGATGGAAACCTCTCTTTATGTGAGAGCCACACTCCGTCCCCGAAACCAGGGCTCAGCAGAATGAGAGGCCAGCCCTGGCTGCTGCCTGTTCTTGCACATCGGGTCCCGCAGCTGTGCGTGTGCCGCCCACGCTGGCTCTCCCCGCTCACGTCAGGGCTGCGGAGCTGCTACGGGGACCGCTCCGCCCTCGAAGCCTGACATGTGTGCCCTCGGCCTTTTCCAGCAAGGTTTGCCTACGTAGGACCCAGACAGAGACCGGAGGGACGGAGGCAGGTGGTGTTCAGGAGGCCTGAGCCACTGGGCAGCTGCTTCCGCCAAATGCAACACACACAGCTGCCCACACACCATTCCACCCTCTTCCCAGCTGACCTCCCGAAGGCGGGAAGTGTGAGCCACACTCAGGGGTTTTCCATCTTCCACTCGCTTCCTGTAAACATCATTCTTACTGCACGTCACGGCCAGGTCCTCGGTCAGCCACCGTGACTGCCGAGTCTGTGGGGTCCCCTGTAGCCCTGGGGTCTGTATTCAGGACCCCTGTGGCCCAGCGGAGCCCATGGCTGGTGTGGACGTGAGGAGCTGTCTGGCAGCAGAGGGGTCGTCTCTTGCCCACAGTTTTGCTTTCTGAGTTTGCTGTGAATGGTTAACGGCTGCTCCAGAATATTCCATGAGAATTCAAAAAGTAACAGCTCCCACGTTTTAAGTTGCATGCAGCTCTGAGCAGTGTTGCAAAACCTTGAGCTGTCCTGCCGTGTCCTGCCTGGGAGCGAACTGCCCCTTTGTCCGGCGTGTCCAGGCTGCAGACAAGCCCCGCCCACCTGTCACTAAGCGCCTGTTGCAGTTATCAGACCGCTGGTCAGCTGCCATAGTGCTCGTATTGAAGTGACCTGTGTTTCATTCAGCGAGGGCCCCAAAGCCACGCACGTGTTAGCTCATATTGTTACCACTGCTGTTTTATTGGCAGTTATTCATGTCTCACTGTGCCTACCTGGCAGATTCAACTCTATCGTGTGTCTGTGTGTGTAGGAAAAACCACAGGACAGAGAGGCTTCAGCACTGTCCCCAGCTCTGAGTGTCTCTGGGGGTCTCAGCGTGTGCCCCCCGCAGATGAGGAGGGACGGCTGTAATACATCAGTGAGGAGCAGGGAGACGTTTGCCCCTAATACATCAGTGAGGAGCAGGGAGACGTTTGCCCCTAGCCGGTTGTATTCCCAGAATGTGCTTACGTGTGTGTTAGGTTTTCCATTAGACATTGGATTGTCACTGGGACTCCGGGATGGAGCCGTGCCTTCCATCCCAGCTCCATCTGCAGGCCCCGGGAAGGGCTTCCCTCCTGCTGGACGGGGCGTGAAAACGCAAGACGGGTGATGGGTCCCATGGATGGCGTGCGTGAGGGTGGGTGGACAACGTCTCTTTCTAGAAAGCATGGGGCTGTTTCTGTGTTGTGGTGTTTCCGTCCAGACTGTCTCAGCTGGTTGCTAACCCACGTGCCGCTCCCTCTGAATCGTAATTTGGCGCATTCTGTGGGGGAACTTCAGTCCCTGCTTCTCGGCTACAGAGTCGCAGGCGGTGTGGGGCCAGGGCAGGTATAAAGATGACGATGACTTTGTCCTTTTCTTCAGGGGCTCAGAGACTTGTGAGGACCTCAGGCAAAGGGGCGGACTGTTGGTGTTGGAGTCACGGGTTGCGCGGGTGGAGGGTGTCTCTTGAGCCAACAGTTTCCCTCTGGACCTCAGAGTCTCTATCCCCCCGAAGAGGAGAATGAGTGGCCTCCCATCCTCGCCCCCAGGGAGGCAGGAGGGCATCCAACAGCTGAGGAAGTCTTCTCCCCCAGGGGCTTCAGCCATTACAGATGCTTTGCCCACACAAGCATTGCCTCGGTAACAAGATGAGGGGGTCGAGGTCTGGCAGTGGCCTGGGTCTGCTCCAGCCCCGCTCTTATTAGGGGACCCTCAGTACCTCCAGCTGGGCTGGCCTTGCACTTGGACCTCTGTCAGCATCGAGTTCTGCTCACCTGAAAGGGCAGATTTAGCCTAGGCAGCACAGACTCTGTTCTCATCCTCAGGGCTGGGGTGTGCAAGGCTTTTGGCCTGAGCCTGCAACGCTCCCAAGGGGCCTGTCAGGGGGAAGCGGCAAGGCCAAAGCACCTGCCTTAGGATTTAGAAGCTTGTACCCTTTGGGAAGTGGGGGTGCTGGTTCCTCCACGGCAATGAGTTGGGCCGCCATGCCAGAGCCGGCGCTGAGATTAGCGGGCCTGAGCTTGGAACTGTGTGTTGGTCCTTAGGACGGACTCCGGGGCCGGCGGGTCCCGTGTGCAGATCCAGGAACCTGCACAGCCTCGCCCCTTAGGTTTCCCTGCCATTCGTGGTGATGGCATCTGCCCTTGGGAGCTGCTGCTGAGATTAAGTGGGATAATACGCACCTGATGACGGCCGCCACTTGTTGAGCAAGCCTGTGATCAATGTCATCCCCTCCAGCGATCACTCCTGTCACCAAATCAATACTACCATCATCACCATCATCTTCATCATCACCACCATCATCATTCCCACCAATGTCATCATCACTATCATCACCACCATCATCTTCATCATCAGCATCATCATCATCACCATCATTATCATCAACATCATCACCACCACCATGATCAGCATCATCACCATCATCTTCATCACCATCATCATCACCACTATCATCAGGTTCATTACCATCATCTTCATCACCACCACCATGATCAGCACCATCACCTTCATCACCATCATCATTATCATCACCATCACCATCATCAAGCACCACCACCAGGATCAGCAGCAGCACCATCATTATTATCATTACCCTCATCACCATCTTCATCACCACCATTACCACCATCACCACCATCATCACCATTATCATCATCATCGTCATCATCATCACCAGCTCACTTCACATGACAGGAAGCACAGATATGAGCTCCCAGTTTTCAAGTCAGCACGGTGGTCTCTGGACCAGGCCAGAAAGTGTGTAAATGGAGGGTGAGGGGAGACTGAGCTGCCCTCCCCACCGGTTGTCCATTGACTGGGTTGCCTGTTCCAGCCCCTCTGTTGACCATGTCTCAGTTGAGCCTCATGGAAGCTGGTGAAACAGATGGGGGTGACTGAAGCTGGGGGGCACTCCATCGTCGCTGAGATCCAGGGTGGTCCATCGGGCACAAAGCTTCTCCCAATTGGCCAGCAGGCCGGGCAGTCCCAGAGGGGAAGCCAGGCTCTCTCAGAGGTGTGCCGCAGCTGCCGCAGACTGTGCGCTGGTGTACGGGAAGCCCCCGGCCAGAACCAGCTGTGAATGGTGCCACTATAAATACTGGGCACCAGTGTGGCTCTTCCTGAGGGCGGTCACACCTGGCACTGCCTCAAACAGAGCAGGTGCTCAAGCCTGGTTCTCTCTCTTTTTTTAACACTTTATTTATTTATTTTAGAGAGGGGGAAGGGAAAGAGAGAGAGAGAAAGATCAGTGTGTGGTTGCCTCTCTCGTGCCCAAAACTGGGGACCTGGCCCACAACCCAGGCACATGCCCTGATGAGTCATGGAACCGGCGACCTTTTGCTTCACAGCCCCAGGCTCAATCCACTGAGCTGGTTGACAGATGAGAGGGCGAGGGGAGCCCGTGACATCCGTGTCTCCCCCCCCAGTCTTCCCAGTGGTGCTGTGCTGTGCGTGTGGGACGGGAATCGCTCCCGACACGCGGAGGGGCTGATGGGAAGAGAAGGCTTGTTCTCTGGTCACGCCGACTTTGCATCGCTCATTAACTCCCCTTGGAGACTGCGTCTTTGAGAAACGTCACACTGAAACTTGCCACGCCGGGGCCCATACTTCTCGCTGCAGGGCCCACCGGGGACCTCGGGCGGGGTGGGTGGGCCTGTCCAATGGACGTCAGGATTGGGCGCCAGGCGCGGGGAGCAACAGGTGCTCCACCATCTCAGGTGAGAGAGCGTGGGCATCGGCACGGCCGGGGTGAGGGAGTGCCCGCACTTGCAGGGGCCTGCGGGGCCTGTCACGGCCTTTCTTACTGGCTCCCAGTTACGGCTCCTGCTCAGAGCAGGAGATGCGGCCAGAGCCCCGGACCCTCCAAGGTGGCCACACTGACCAGTGGACACTGCCGGGGTCTCCCAAGAGGGACGTTACAGGTCTGTCATCAGGAGGAGTGAAGCCTGGTGTGGGGGGACTGGAGTGAAATCTGGAGATGAGGTGGGGGTGCGAGGGGGTGAGGCAAAGCCCAGAGAGAGTGCCCATCCTTTGCATAGGGTGGGCTCTGGCTGCCCTGCTTCTGTGGTGGCCAGTCCTGTCCCCGTCCTGCTGGCCCACCACCCCCCACTATGCAAATTCACATCGAGCAGGGCCAGACCACAGAGCCTCTGCTGGGCCTAGCCTTCTACCCCTGGGACCTCAGCAGGCAGTGACCTTGTTGGAGAGCAGGTGTCTCCCAAGGACCCAGAGCCCTGAGCCTGCAAGGCCATCTCCCACCTTCCCAATGAGTCCTGGGCCATTCTGGCTCTTCCTGGGCCAGGCCAGGTCCCCCGCCTCCGGGCCCCCCTACCCCGTGCAGGCCAGCCACTGGGTGTGCAGAACCGAGGAGCAGAGCTTACCCAGGGTGGCAGGAGAGAGAGCGGCCAGGGCTTACCTGCGCCAGGTGAGGGGCTCTGTCGGTGCAAGAAAGGATGCAGTGGCCCGTAGGCCAGGTCACAGCTCAGGGACCGAGGAAGCTCTGGGAAGGAGGAGGGAGGCCGGGGCTGGGGCATCCCTCTCTGGACTCCAGCAGCTGCCAGCACCAGGTGCTGTGCGTGGCAGCCTCGGGGCCTGGACTGTCCCCATGCAGCGGTCCACGGTGGCCCCAGCTGGAGCTTGTGCAGGCTGCTCACGGACAGGCCCGGGAACTCACAGCTGGTCAGCAGGCCGGGCTGTGGACCCCCACATGGCCCCCTCATGTCGTGTCCCCTCTCTGTTCGCAGGTCTGGCTGTCCATCAGATTGTCACCATCACCGTGTCCCTCATCATGGTCATAGCTGCTCTGATTACAACTCTTGTCTTAAAAAACTGGTAAGGATCTTCGGCCCTCTGGTCTGCACACGGGGGAGATGGGGTCCCCGGTGAGGTGCACGCAGGAGCATCTTACTTTTCCATGGCCCTCCTGCCATGGGCAGCCCTGAGCACGGCAGCTCAGCCAGCCAGACATCACGACTTGGGCGGCAGGTGCCTCCTTTTAATCAGATCCAGGCGCCTTTGGACCCAGGGCCCAGCCCCTCAACACTTGTCTTCATTTCCTAGCAGCAGCCTGGGGCGGGGGGCTGTGCTTGCCCTTCACAGCCCCTCGCTGCCCCTCACTGTCCCTCACTGTCCCGGGCACGCTGTCCCAGCTGACCGGTGCTGGCCCACCCTCCTGCCGCCCCACCTTCCTCCCTCAGTGAGCTGCCCCGTGTCTGCTGAATTAGGTTACTGCTTTGCTCCAGGCAGCCTGTCTTTGCCTATTTCCTCCTGGAAATTGGCCTATTTTGAGGTTGGCCTTGCTGGGTGTACACACCTGCTACACCCCTGGGAAAGCGGGGAGCTGCTGAGTGACCCCCGCCTGCCAGCAGCCCCTCCCCCAGCCAGCGTGGCTCCTTCCAGCTTCAAAGCGTAAACCTGCTGGCAGAGGAATTCGCTCCAGCAACGCGCTGCTGCCTGCAGACACTGGCAGGAAATCCTCCGGGGCTGATGCAGGGCGCTGCCCGAGCACCCGCCAGCAGAACGGGTGGGAAGCCGGGGGTCAGCCAGGGCGGACAGGGGGGCTCTGTGGGGTGCAGAGCTCACACAGGCTGGCGAGGCCCGCAGCCGCCCCCGACGGCTAGCAAGCCCGGGACCCGAGGCGTTTTCTAGACAGATGAGGAGGATGATGGCCCTCAGCCTACAGCAGGCTTCCTGGGCGGGGCCAGACCCCGTGCGTGGCTGCAAAGCCCCCGCATCAGCTGAGCATCCCGTGGAAGGGAAAACCCCTCCCCTGAGGAGACTGTGGATGTGTGGCCTGCGGAGTGACAGACAGGCCACCAGCTTCTTCTTGGTTTCCCCACACATTTGTGTTTGCGGCAAACCCTGCTCTACCCCTTCAGGGGAGACGGTCCGGCCCCGGGCGAGTGGGCCCTGGCCTGGGGGGTTGGGCTCCAGGCCAGCAGCGGGGAGTCCTCTCTCTCGGGGGAGAGGGCAAAGCAGGGGCATGCCGCCGCCACTAACGGGGTGGGCTCACTAAGACCCCTTTGCAGCCCCTCACTGGTCGTCAGCAGGAATGGGGAAGGAGAGCTAGTCCCCCAAAGTGGGGGCTCCCCAAACTTCCTCATAGCTGCCCTTCTCCAGGGGGTGGGGACTTCCACCCTCACCCCACTCCCCGCTTGGGAACCTGCCAGAGTGACATCTAGGAACAGGAGGCCTCTCTGATTGTCACTGCGTCTGACCCCTTGGCTCAGGAGGGTCAGAGTCCTGTGGCCTTCTTAGGGGCCACCTGGAAGCCTCTGTGGCCCAGGGGAACGGGGAAATGAGGCAGGTCCCCATGGGGCAGTCGGCACAGACCCCATCGGGGTGAAGGAAGGGTGGGGGAGGGGCTCCCACATCAGATCAATTCCCGAAGATAATTATATAGCGACTCCCAAAATACGTGATCCGGCCACCCTAGACTGTGCACAAAGGTCCCACCTTGGGGACCCATCGATTTTCATCCTGTCAAGGTGTTTGGCAGGGAGAGGAGGCCAACATCCTGCCGGTTGGCTGGTGCTCTTCAGCCCAACAAGGCCTCGGCTCTGGGTAAGAGCACGGCCACGTCCCCGACGACCCTCCCTGCAAGGCAGACACCTTGGAAATCCAAATTTTACTTAAAAGGGGTGCTGATGGCTTGATTGCAGTTGATCTTTCCGAAGTGGCCGTTGCCCTCTGACACTGAGTGGTGTGTGGCAAATGCCCGGAAACGAAGGCCATGCCGCTCCAGGGTGAGAGGTGCTTCTGCCGGCCACCCCTGGCCGGCCACCCCCGGCCGGCCACCCCCACCCCTTGACCTCTCTCTCTTTCAGCTGCGCCCAAAGCGGGAACCCCCGAAGGAGCAGCCACCAGCGGAAGATCAACCAGCAGGAAGAGAGCTGCCAGAACCTGACGGACTTCACCCCCGCTCGGGTGCCCAGCAGCCTGGACATCTTCACCGCCTACAACGAGACCCTGCAGTGCTCGCACGAGTGCGTCCGGGCGTCCGTGCCCACGTACGCCGACGAGACGCTACGCTCTGTGGGGGAGTACAAGTCCACGTTCAACGGGAACCGGTGAGCTCGGGCGGGGTGCGGGCCGCCCCTGGGCTGCCAGTACTGGGGGCTTGGTGCAGGCGGGGGGCTGAGGACAGGCAGGGGGGACCCTTGACGTGTCTCTGGGGGTCCAGCAGGTGCGAGGGTGGATAGATGCAGTCAGAGGATGCAGCGGCAGTCAGGACCCCGGTCCGCACCTGCACTGGGGGGCGGACCAGACGCCTTCCTGCCCGATGCCCCGGGGTGGCTGTCCTCACCCAGAGCTCAAAGCCAGCTCTGTAGCCCATCCTCCCAGAGGCCAGCGGCCCAGATCGGCCCTCCCCGGCCAGCATCTTTGAACCCCGCCGATAAAATGTCCACAGCAGATCGAGCAAATCTATCTATCAAACATCAGCCAGACTCCTGGTTATTAAATGCTTTTTTCTCTTTTTATTAATCACTTGTAATCCTTTAAAGGAGACACAGGCCTGAAACCAAGCCTGGGAGCGCTCCAGAAACGCTGAGTCAGCTTCGGAAGGTTTATCCAGAATTAGATTAAAACATCAATAAGCTATTTTTTTAAACAGGCATATACTCATGCCTCATTTTAGAAATTAAAAAAAAACTGCAACAACTTCATCTTCGGAGGGAACAAGGGACGGTTTGCGGGCCACTGTCAGAAAAGGACAGGCAGCGGGGACACTGGCCGAGGCGCCGTGAGGGCTCCTCCCGGCACCAGGGCAGGGAGACTCGGGGTGACTTTCCGCCGCAGTGCCTGTAGTTAGCGCGGCCTCGTCCGGTCTGAGAACAGGGCCGTCCCTGAAGCTCCTGGTGTCCCCACGCGGGACCACCTTCCCCGTTGTGTGCGAGGTGCCCCTTTCCCGGGGGAGGAGGGGAGAGAAGGGAATGCTCAGGATCGTCCTCCCAAATGCCCCTTGGGCTTCACTGGGTCTCTGGGGGAGCGCACTGGAGGCCACGCCCCGGAGGCCACGCCCCGGAGGCCACGCCCCGGAGGCCACGCCCCCGGCCTCCCAGGGGATCAGCAGAGGGGATCTCCCCTCCCTGCTGCCAAGCGCGCGTGGTGTAGTTTTGGATGTGAATCCTGGCCAAGCCCTGTGTCAGCGGGGTGGCACTGGGTTGGTCACCCTGTCACCTTGTCCCATGCTCGGGCCCCGTGTCCTGTGCCAGCTCTGTGCATGGGGAAGGGGAGTGGTGTGGCCCGACCAGCGTTCTTACTCCCTGGCCAGGCAGCGTGGGATGGAAAAGGCTCTTACTTTGGGCCCAAGGTAGCACTCTGCCCGCCCTCACTGTCCTGGAGGATTGCTCGCTTGGTCTCAATGGTGACAAAACCCGGGGATGGTATTTTAGGAGTCAGGCCCTGCCCTTTAATCATGTGTGACAATGCAGGTTGAGTCCCTGTCCTCTCAAGCAGAGACCCCAGCTTTGCGCTGGTCCTGAAATTGAAATGCTAAAATCCAGAGGTAGCCCAGCGGCGCCAGCTGGGATGCTGGCCTCCCGGCCTCCACCCCGAGCCCTCCTGTGACCGGTCCCTCAGGTTCTGTGTCCTCCCGGGCCACCCAGGGTGGAAAGGGTGCTAGCCAGCCACAGGGAGGGCAAGGGTCCCTTCCTGCCCAAGGCAGGTGGGTCCCGGCTGAGCACCACCTTCCTGGGCGGGGTGGGGTGTGTCCAGAGAAGCCGTCCGGGCAGCAGGCCGGGGCCACCTGCGGTGGGTCCCGAGTGGCTGTGCCAGCCCCCCTTCTGCTCCCCGCAGGCCTTCCTCTTCGGACCGGCACCTCATTCCCGTGGCCTTCGTGTCTGAGAAGTGGTTCGAAATCTCCTGCTGACTGGCCGAAGTCTTTTTTACCTCCTGGGGGCAGGCCAGACGCCACGTGTCTGTGTCATGGTGCGTACCTCTCGTTGGGGACTGGGCTCTCTGTCCCTGCTGCCTCGACTCCCCCACCCCGCTGTCCCTCCGGGAGAGCGAGGGGCCCTTTCTGCACAGCAGTGGCACCTTGGCTGGAATTCCAGCGTCGTCACCTTTCCGAGGGGGGCGGGCTTGTGCACTCCGCCGCACCTGTTAGAAACACCCCCATGTCCCAGCGCGGGAGCGACCAGTGCTCGGGCACCCTGACTCGGCACTGGGGTCATGTCTGCCAGTGTCCCTCCGTCCCCAGGCAGGGCCACTGCTGGCGGGCCTGCGGGGCAGGGGAAGCCAGCTTCAGTACAGCTCCCGTCCCCCGAGCAGAAGGCGGTCCAGGCTGCGGCAAAGAGGGCGGCTTCCCGCCCTCCCACCTCCCAACGTGGGGCGGGGGCGCTGGGTGGAATCACAAAATGAATTTGAAATATAAAAATAGGAGATAAGGAGGAAAATGACAAAGAAAGAAGACGTCCGCTGACTCGAAGCAGGCCTGGTGCCGGAGCAGGATGGACTTTGCACGCTCTGCTGCCCAGGGACATTTGCTTTCCTTTCAAGGGCATTAACTTGGACACCGACGTCCGGTTGCCTCCTTGGGTGCCCAGCGCCCTGACAGCTCGGCATCTCCGCCCCCTGGCTGCACGTGCCGGGGCACAGCCGCTAGAGGCAACCCCGGGCTCGGGGTCTCTTAAATTTGTTTTCCTTTTGGGTGCTTGGTTTTCTAAGGGTCCGCATTTTGCTCATCCACAGAAAGCAGCTGTTCTCTCAGATTCTCCTTCTGAACGTGAGGTCAGATCCCTTCCTTGAGTAGGGACCCCGATTTCTAGGATGGTCATCGATGTGTGAGAGTGTTTTTTTCTCTCTCTGCTCACCTTCTGCTACGGGGACCTGAATGGGCAAAGCCATTTTCAGAGTGGGGGACCAGGCCCGAGGCACGGAGGGGTCTTCTCAGGCCCTCACCGGACGCCGAGGACTCAGCTCTCAGCCCTTAGCTGGGGCCGGAGTGGCCAGCTCCCTTCAGAGGCGGGAATGGATTGGTCAGTTCCTGGTCCAGGTCCTGATGAATAGCGTGTTTGCTCCAGATTAAATCTGCAGCCCTCCCTTCCTGTCCCAAAGCCAAAATGACCTGCTTAGTGTTCTGTTCTGCCAACGGGTGAAGAAATGTAATTAGGTTAAAATGGAAAGTGAGCCCCCCCCCCCAGGCCTTTGCTGAGATTGTTCAGAAAGCAGGCAGGACGCGTTGTGTCCCGGCATTCAAGGGCCAGATGTGCCCGGCCTGACCCAGTCTGTGCCCTTGTCCGCCTCGGGGGGACACCTCATTAAGGCCACAGGGCCCTCTCTGCACCCAGACTGGCGAAGGGGACCTTACCCGTTAGCAGAGGAGGCTGCGCTTGTCCCTGGTGAAGCCTCTGCAGGCCGGCCTCTCTGTCAGGATTCCTAAAGGGTGATGAGAACATCAGACCTGGGCAGTGCCGGCCTGTGTGTCCTCTGCCCCCTACCTCCTCCAAGACCTGTGGGCCCACGGGCCTGGAGACAGACACGCCTTTGGCTTCAGGTAGCCCCGCCAGAGGGCACTTCCGTAATGCAGACCGGTGAATGGCAGCTCGTGGGAGCACTCTGACTGACGTCTAGGAACACAGTCAAATTCAGTCCTCCCAGCAACCCTACCTGCAGCTGGGGCAGGGGGACCCGGGTGGGTTAGGTGACTTGCCCAAGGCCCATCCGGCGGAGCTGACCAGCCCCTGGTCATTAGGGCCCCAGGCAGCAAGGTGTCTGGGCCCCACCCTCCAGCTGTACCCGAGCAGCGGTCTTGGGAGCATGTTCACAGAGGGAGGGGGCAACTCCATGTCCCAAGACCTTGACCAGCTCAGATCCAGGTAGACAGAGGATCCAGGTAGATGGTTGGGGAGGTGAGAAGAGCCGGCAGGACTTGCTGGCTCTCGGCCACGCCCAGCCACCGCGCCTGCAGACACCAGACAGAGGGCAAGGGCTGGAGGGCTCCACACACCTCCTTGTTAGCCCCTGATGGACGCTTACAGATTCCATGACCGTGTGTCAGGCAGACCATTTGTCACTCGCTGGGAGGAAAACGTGCGGAGCCTCGGTGTCCCCGAGTCTTGTAATTAATGCCTGGACAGGAGCGCTGAGCAGAGGACAACCAGGAAGATCTCTCCCATTCACCAGGGTCCTTATTACCCCTTAAACAAATAGCAATTAATACTAAAACATTTAATTAAGGCCTAAGAGCCAGCGGTGACATTTATCTGTGGCGTAGCCGCTAAGCCTCTGCAAATGCATTTTTAATGATGCTGTAGCCATTTGTCACCAGGCCGTCTGGTCTGTGCACGCTAACCCACCTGTGCATCTGGGACCCAGATGTGGCTGTGTTCACTTCCCCCGTGGGTAGGCAGGGAGCGGACACAGGTGCCCCAGCTGGGGCAGTGCTCACGGAGCCCCTGGACTGAGCCTCTGAGGTGGATTCCAGCAGAGCCTGGCCACATAGCCGCCTTCACGGTGCCGCCGGACTGAACGCCCAGGACCAGGCTCAAACAAGTCGGTGGCCTTCCTGCTGCAAGCAGAGTGACCGCAGACACACCTGCCGCTGGCTCGTGGGCTAATTGCCTGTCATTTTTGGTACAAGTAAACTTCACAAAAGCTCACCAGTGCCCAGATCTTTCCGCTGGCCAAGGCCGCCTCATTCCAAACAGAGCTGGAGACATAATGAAGGCATCCATCATGCGGAATTACTATTTTCAACAACACGCTGAGGACGTAGTAATAAGAAAACAGGAAAAGCACCTGAGCCCCTCACCACTTTGGTCTAAAAACCCACACTAACAGGATCACCAGCTTTTGTCGTTCGAAGGGACGCTTTCTCCAAAGCAGCATGCAGACACGTCTAGAAACTGCCTAAGCTGAGCACCACGGAGGAAGACTCCCCAGAACAAGGGGAACTCCACGGGAGAGCGCCCACTCCGGGTGGGGAGAAGCTGGCTGGTGGCCGCGGTGCTCCAGGGGGATTCTGGGCTCTTGCTTTTGCAAAAGCAGACACTGGTCATGAAGCTCATGACCTACCGTGTGGCCTGTAGCCAGTGGGACCCCGCGAGCGGAGACCCCCCTTCCAAGCAGCAGAGGGCACTAGTTTCCCCAAAGTCGGAATTGGCCCGGACCCCCATCTCGGACCACCAGGCAACACGCAGCTTCCTTTTCTGACCAGGAGCCTTGTGTGGACGCCTTCCTGGGTGTCCTCTAGCCGGGCCTTTGGGCTCACCGCATCTCTTTCCCAACCGGGCAGGGCTGCACATCCCTCTTCATCCCTCCTGGGGTCTGTGCCCACCTGACAGCTTTCGGAGCAGAAAAACCAGGTCCCCCCAGGAGCCGAGTACAGGCAGCAGGGCTCTGGCAGGAACGTAGGGCAGGCCTGGGTGCAGGGCAGCCTTGGCCTCTCCTCCCTGTTGGGGCGACTCGGGGAATCCATCCACCTCTGCAGGAAGCCGGCGTTGCTCTTTTTTTAAACATATTTTATTGATTTTGCTCTTACAGTTGTCCCGTTTTTCCCCTTATGCCCCCCTTTACCTGGCACCCCCATTTCTTGCAGCAGTCCCCCCTTAGTTTATGTCCATGGTCATGCATGTAAGTTCTTTGGCTTCTCCATTTCTTGTGCTATTCTTAACCTCTCCCTGTCTGTTTTGTACCTACCAATTACGCTTCTTAAACCCTGCACTGGCCCCCCACTCTCTCCCCTTCCCCTCCCCGCTGATCACCCTCCATATGATCTTGATTTCTGTGATTCTGTTCCTGTTCTGGTTGTTTGCTTGGTTTGTTTTTTTTTAGATTCAGTTGTTGATAGTTGTGAATTTGTGGTCATTTCAATGTGCAGAGTTTTGATCTTCTTTTTCTTAAATATGCCCCTTCAACATTTCATATATGAGTGGTTTGGTGATGATAAATTCCTTTAGCTATACTTTGTCTGGGAAGCTCTTTATCTGCCCTTCGATTCTAAATGATGTCTTTGCTGGATAGAGTCATCTTGGCTGTAGGTCCTTGCTTTTCATCATTTTGAGTATTTCTTGCCAGTTCCTTCTAGCCTGCAAAGTTTCTTTTGAGAAATCAGCTGACAGTCTTATGGGAACTCCTTTGTAGGTAACTAATTGCTTTTTCTCTTTATCTTTAAAATTTGTCATTTTAATTATGGCATGTTGTGGTGTGGTCCTCTTTGTGTTCAAATTGTTTGAGACGCTCTGTGCTTCCTGGACACGTATGTCTATTTCCTTCACCAAATTAGGGGAAATTTCTTCCATTACGTTTTCAAATAACTTTTCAATTTTTTTGCTCTTCCTCTTCTCTTTCCAGCACCCTTGTAAGTGGGATATTGGTACATTTGGAAGTATTCCAGAGGCTCCTTATTCTATTCTCATTTTTGCGAAGTCTTGTTTCTTCCTGCTCTTCTGGTTGAATTCTTATTTCTTCCTTATGTTCCAAATTGTTGATTTGAATCTTGGCTTCATCCCCTCTATTGTTGGTTCCCTGTGGATTTTTCTTTACTTCACTTAATAGAACCTTCATTTCTGCCTGAGTCTTTTTTATGCTGTTGCAGTACCCAGTGACTTCTTTGAACATCCTGATCACCAGTGTTTTGAACTCTGTGTCGGATCGGATAGGTTGCTGATCTCCATTCTATTTAGTTCTTTTCCTGGAGTTTTGTTCCTCCATTTGGGCCGTATTTCTTTGTCTCCTCCATTTGGCAGCCTCCCTGGGTTTGCTTCTGTGTATTGGGTCGAGCTGATCTGACTCCCTGCCTCAGTAGGGTGACCTGTTGTGGAAAAGGCGCCCGTCTGGGTGACTGTGGCTTCTTTGAATCCCTGCTCGTCTGATTTCCATGCAGCTCGAGTTCCTGATGAATCTGGGCAATGCTCGTTTAGTAGTTAG